TATAAAGAAAAAGTTGACAAGGCACATGAAGAAGCACAAGAGCGAAATCCACTTGCATTTTCCACCAAGGTTCATTCTCTTTTAAATCTTAATCATCTTTAAAAACTTGACTTTGCAACTCCATGCAAATTAATGGATTCTTAAATCTTAATGCATAATGGTTGTCAACGTAACAGGAGGGTCGAGAAAAGCACATAATAGGTTGCAAGTGTAGGGTTTCAAAGTGCTCACAACTTTTATGCAAGTGCTATAGGGTATGTTATAGGGTTTTTTAATTCATATATATATGTCAGATTATCTTTACTTTAATTTCTAGGGTTTCTACTAATATTTTTTTGATTAATCCCAATAGACTCAAGTGGGATGCCGAAGTGAATGTCGATGTGTAGGAATATGTGAAAACATTCATGGAAAACGAGGGGATAACTGTTGAAATATTAAGCTAGAGTTAGTTTTTAGTAAATGTCGTTTAAAGAAAGATGGGGCAGTTACAAGTTGGTAGTTATTGCTCTAAGGGTTGCAAAGGTTACACAACCATTGTGATGGTTCGAGAATATGCCAACCATTATGATGGTTCAAGAATATGTCGTATACTCTCTATATATACATGTAATAATCTTATGTAAATTAAGTGTGTTGATTAGTGATTAATAATAAAAGCTTTTGTTTTCTGTACAAGAATCTCTCTTTCTATCTCCTTGTCTTAATATGCTTTCTCCAACAATAACTTTGACATGATGGGAACAAGTACAATGGAGTCTGAATTCATGAATCAGTTTATACCTCAAAATATGGACATTCCATACATACAATTTCAATCTTCTAACCATGACATGATGATAGGAACACCTCAAGATATCAATGGTAATGATCCGAGTTCAGTGGGAAACCTTTCATACACTGATATGGTTTCTTTAAATCAGTTTGAAGTCATGAATCAATTCACACATGAAGATATCAATGCTACACATCTGAGTTCAATGATGAACACTGGATCTTCCAATTATGAGAAGATGATAGGAACAAGTACAAGGGACTGGGATATGGTTCCTATGGATCAGCTTCATCAGTTCATGAATCCGTTCACTACACCTCAAGATTTCAAATCAAGACATGATGATAGGAGATAGTAGAAGATATATAGTTTGCTAAATGTGGATTTTTTTACATTCTCATGTAAGAACATTAGTCTTTTTCGGAGTTCTAGTTAGTAATTTGTGTATTGTTGTGATGGTTGGATGAAAAGATGATTTTTTTTAAGTCGGTTAGTGTTGAATTAGATTGTAAAAAGTATGCCGATTAGAGTTATGTTATGAAGAATGTTTTGCATGAGAAATGTATGTGTAATTACATTATATTGGTAAAAATCTAACATGGTAAATCACGAGAGAAATCTATTAATTATGCAATGTTAGTCGATGTTTGGAAAACTGGTAGTTAAAAGATAATTTAATGGATCAGTAACTTTGTTATCCAATTCATTTGTTTCTGGTTGGTTATGTATGATATTGCTAAAGAAATGTTCAATAATTTGGTTAGAACACACTAAACTGAACTTTCCCAAATAATATAAGTTGTCGACAAATATTTGGGCCATTCAACAAAGATGTTCCACTGTTATCATTGTCGTAAGAAAAGCCACTAAAGGAGGATTTTTCCAATTTACCTAGCTAAGGTGAAGAAGAGAACAATTTGAGAATCCAACAATGGGCATTTACTAGCTAAGGTGGCAATTCTAAACATGACCCACGACACGACATGAACCTGATACAAAAATAAATGGTTTGGGTTGAGATTTCTGACCCACTAACCCGCCAAAAAACGGATCGTGTTCGGGTTAGTTATTGGGTTCACGGGTCAACCGGCCAACCCATTTAATTTTTTTCATTTCTTTAAAATTCTTTATTTTTAAAGGGTATTGTCGCATTAAATCAAGCTTCCGTGGAGGTGGTCAACCATTTGGTGAAGACACGGAGACATTTTGCATTACATTTTCAAACGTTGCTGCATAACCCCCTCTTGGCCACCCTGAAATGAATCTGAGAATATTTGAACCCAAGACCTCCCTCCCTATGGGAAGATTCATTATATAATATTATAATATATTAGATTTAATTTATGTGATTATGTCTATCATCCTATGTGTGTTTTGTGCCCTAAATCAAATCAGTCCTCATTATTACGCATATCATATTTGGGTTTATGGGTCAACCTGTCAACCCGATCTGACCCATGGACATGTATATATAAACGGGTTAGACAGGTCGTGTATGGGTTAATGTTTCCAACATGCCAGCCCGCGACATGAATAATTATATGGGTCGTGTACGGGTTGATGTGTTTTGACCCGCCAACCTGAAGCCGACACGATTGTCACCCCCTAGTAGATACTTATCATTCTATGTGATATAACTTTATATTTTTTGTCTTACTCTTGAGTATTTGATACCAATAGTGGAACTCACATTTGCAACATATACATGTTGAAGCTATCAAAAGTTAAGCGATAGAATTACTAGATCGATGATGGTTACACTTCTCCTCCGTTGTCTTTCTTTGTTGGTGTTGGTGACCGGTATATTTGCAACCTTGAGATCTCAAAAGCTCATTTTCTCTTTTGCTTTCCTTTTCTCGTTCGCTTTCCTCTCTTACCTCACATATAGTCTCTCTCCAAAACTGCATTTCTATTTCAATAACACTATTATTGTTGAAACCTTTGAGCTTCTCCATACCAAAATCATCTTCATGTTCTTGAACTCAATGAGGAAACCGATGGGTGGTGATGAGTCCATTTTGTTTATATATATATCAAATAATACTTCAAAAAACAAAGATAATAAAATAATTAAAATATATATTATTAAGGACAAAATAGTTATTTCAACTAGACTATACTAGAGACCAAAAACAAAAATAAATAAATGATATGATGGTTCAAATAAAAAACAAGCTTAGCGATTATCTCTTATAGTTTCCCGCCTTTTTATTATTTTATATTTACTTTTCTGGTTTTTTTTTTTCCTTATGCTCTGTTTTTGCTTAAAAGGATATCGATCTTGGTTAGGGTTTCAAGAATCATCGGCTCTTCTTCTACGCTACTGATCGGATTTTGGCTTCTTTAGGGCACCATCACTGACGCTTCTTTAATCAAAGAAATCGACTGGTTTCCAGGTACATATAGTTTTATCCTAAATTTCATTTCTTAATTTGTTCCAAATACCCTTATATTGTAAATCCGCAAAATCTTTGCCGATGGTTCCAGTTCATGGTGAAGGTTTTTGTCGTTTTCATTTTAGTTTTTTAAAAGGTTATTCTTGGTGAAATTGATGACATTTTCCTTAAGCGCATTAGAATGTGTACATTGACCTGTATAGTTTCTACTCTTAAATTCGGACACTTGGTTTGAAACTTGATGCTTATAAGTCATGAGTCCACCCTGTAATTTTGTTAGTATGATTATCCGTAAAATCTCATCTCCTCTACATACGATATTAGTAAGTAGTAAGTTTTAGCATATCAGGAATGTAAAATTAATTTAAATGTAAAGAAGAGCATTCCAGCTTATAAAGAAAATATAACTTTGCAAACACATGCAAGGATACAGTGATCTTTATGAAGTTTAAATACATGAAGCTTGCTCTTATGCTACATGTGTAGTTATTATATCATTCAGTTTATGTTTCCACATCACATTTACAATTCTTAGCTTCTACAAGAACCTAAGAATTTTGAACAATCGTGACAAATTGACTATAATTATTGTAAACATGAAAAACTTTCAACTTTATCTCTTAAATATCGTATGTTTGGCAGTTTGAGACTAAAGAAATCTAGCCCATTTGCAATAGATACGCTTCTCATTAGCCTATGCCCATTCCGTAGTGAGTAAATCAAAACACAAAAAACGTGCAAAACCCAATTGTTTTTTTTTTTTTTTTTTTTTTTTTTTTTTTCTGGAATATGCACATATTTTGCAGTGGGCCCTATAAAATTTGTGGCTTTGAAGAGATGTGAAACTTTATGCTATTTTTAGATAAAATAGCATTAGCATTTTGACTGTTGTAGTTTTTTCTTTTATCTGTCACATATCATTAAAAAATTTATGGATAATTGAACACTTGTGTTAGAAAATTTGTCACGGATAAAATAAAGAACAATTGTTTTTTCCGCACTTTGTTACCGTTGCGAGGCGTACTATAGATTCCCGCCTTTTTATCATTCTCCATTACATTTCTAATTGTTTTTCTCCCTCTGTTTTTGCTAAAAGAGTGTTGATCTTGATTCAAGAATCCATAGCTTCTTCTTCTTCTACGCTGATAAGAAATAACGAGTTGGGGTTTTCTTTTAGGGCATTAATTCCCCTGAACAAGAAAATAACCCCATTAACCCCATCACTGACACCGCTTTCATCTACTAAATCCACTGGTTTCCAGGTACATATCGCGTATCCCGTTTCTCACTTCAATTTTTAACATTCATTCCCGATTTATCGTTTGTTTCATTTCTAAATCTGTTTCTAATACTACGCTAATTTTGTAAATCGACGGGGTAAAGTAATTGCCGATAGTTCCAGTTCTTGCTGAAGGGTTTTATCATTTTCAATTTATGTTTTCCAAGACTTTCTTGTTGAATTGATTTCCAATTCTAACATATCAGAATGTGTATTTTCACTTGTATATTCTTTACTCTGTAATTTTGTTAGTAAGGTTATTCTGAAGAAGTATCCATCGATGGGATGTCAGATTTTGGGGTAATTAGGATATGAGAGATTTGTGAAGGAATGCTTTTTCAAATGAATGAACGCAATAGATAATCGTGTTAATTTCCTGAAATCTCATTTAATTTCTAGTTTTACCTTCTACTAGAGATGAATTTACGCATGAAATTATTCAATCCGGGGAACCTGAATTCTTGAGTTTATAACTCTGACATTTCAAAATCCCAATAAGGATGAATCCTTCCTTTTACATATATTCATCTTTTTCTCTAATTGTTCCAGAATGGATACAAAAAGAAACGATGATGATGATGATGATGTTCATAGACGCTGCAAGTGTAAGAAGTCCAAATGCTTGAAACTGTAACTTCAAATTCAAATATCAGCAACAACTCTTTCTCCCTTTCAATTATGTTTCTATGATGATGTTCATAAACAGTTCCTTTTGCAGTTATTGTGATTGCTTTTCTGCTGGATTCTATTGTTCTGAAGCATGTAGTTGTAAAGAGTGCTTCAATCTACGTGACTATGAAGATGAAGTCCACGAGTCACGTGAATGTATAGAAGAGAGAGATCCACTTGCTTTTTCACCCAAGATTCATTCTCTTGTACACAATCTATCATCTTTAAACTTTCTCACTTTGCATATACTAATTCATCGACTCTTAACATGCATTAATGATTATCAACAGGAGGGTGGAGATAAGTTGATGCCAACTGTACAAAAACACAGAAAAGGTTGCAGATGTAAGAAGTCAATGTGCATGCAACAGTATTGTGAGTGCTATAAGGTATATTATAGGGTTTTTCAGTTCATGTTAGATTAATCTCTTTACTTTCTAATGTTTCTACTAATCTTTTTGAGTAAATTCCACTAGGGTAAAGTCGGATGCTGGAATAATTGTCGATGTGAAGGATGTAAAAATGTTCATGGCATGAAAGGAGGAGGAAAGTGTGACATAATGATAGGAACAAGTAGAATTGAATTTGGTTTGGATCAACATGAATTCATACCTCAAGATATCAATGGTGGACATGTGAAATCAATGATGAATCCTTCATACAACTCATCATCACCAGATGGATCTTCTAACAGTGACATGATGATAGGAACAAGTACATGGAACTCTAGGATGGTTCCTTTGGATCAACATGAATGCATCAATCAATTCACTCCTCAAGATATGAACATTCAGTTAGCAGCTGGATCTTCTAACTGTGAGATGATGATAGGGACAAGTGATTTGGATCTTCCAACTGTGGCAGAGCTTGAATTCATGAATCAGTTCATCACACCTCAAGATTTCAATGCAAGACATGATGATGAGATAAAGTAGAAGACATAAAGTTTGTTAAGTCTTAAGATCACTTTGTTGCTAAATTTTGTGATCATGTTAGGTTGTGTGAACATCTAATCGGTTAATATTGTAAGTAGTGTTGAACCATTAAGATAGTGATGTGTAATCTAATCACTTTAGATGTAGCCATGTGATGGTGACTTCATGTTCCTAAAGGAGCCATAAGATCTTCTGATCTTTAAATACATCAAACATGCTTTTTGTTGAACCATTGCTTACTAGCTAGTTCACGGATAAAATGAAACTTAATACAAATATGCTTAATCTTTCCATGAAATATTGGGTTTTAGGGACTTATTATCATAATATATCTTTGTTCCAGATTTTTGAGAGATATGTGTGTAGTTCTAGGATTCCTCTTAGCCAAAGAGCTTGACAAGTAGCCATAGAAAGACATATACTTGGCCTCTACAGATGATAATGCAAGCACCTTTTATTTCTTTGATTAATGCCAAGAAACAACACATACGCAAAGACTAAATATATACCCTGTAGTGCTTTTGCTATCCTCGAGATTCCCTCCGTAATAGTTGTCACTAAAAACCAATTAACTTTAGAATATATGATGCCATGATTGAGGGTCCCTTTGATGAAATGTAGAATGCGTTTTCCTGCTCCTACTGACTTCTTTTTGGAGTTTCCATGTAACGACTTACTAAACTAATTGGGAACATGATATCAGGCCTAGGTGCAGTTTCCATGTAACGACTGATTAAACTAATCGGAAACTGACTAAACTAATTAGGAACATGATATCAGGCATTGAACTAGACATTGATATAATTTGGGATCCACATTTTCTTTGATGCATTCTTTGGACAATTTTAGTCCAAACTCCATAGGGATTATTGAGGCAGGAGAAGAATTATCCATGTTGAACTTAATAACAAGTTCTTTTGCCTATTTGTGTTGTGAGATAGAGATCTTACCTTCTTATGTTGTTGCTTTACTTCTGTTAAACGGTGTAATTTTCTTGTGTATTCCATTGAGTTACAACCGAAATATATACAATCGACCTATATCTATTTACGGATATTATCTCAACAATAAATGTATAGCATATCTTCTATAACAATGCATATCTACTATAACAAAGGTTTTTTTTTTGGAAAGGGAATTTCCCTAACGAGGGTTTCCGGGCTAGCTTTCGCGCATTGACTAATCCCCCGCTGCAAACATGAAGCTTTGCCTCATGCCCTGGAGTCACTGTAGGCAAACCTCCATGGCCACAAGGGCTGAGTGGTGCCAGGATTTGAACATGGGTCAATAGGTTATCCACCATATCTTCGGCTAATATACCCCTACAGTCGAATCGAGACGATGAAGAACATTGAAACTGTTCTTGAAATCTTCAAAGTGTATGAGAGGTAAACCTTTAGTTAAGATATCCACAACTTGATAGTGAGAGGGAATGTGAAATACATAGATTTGACCACAAGCTAGTTTCTCCCGAACGAAATGAATGTCGAGCTCGATATGTTTGGCTCATTGATGTTGAACCGGGTTGCATGATAAGTAGAGTGCGCTAACATTATCACAATAAACTAACATGGTTGTGTTTTGATGAACATGAAGTTCCAGTAGCAAGTTTCTTATTCAACACATCTCGGAGACAACATTTGCGATTCTCCTATATTAAGCTTCGACACTAGATCGAGAAAGTGTTAGTTGGCGCATGAAGGAGCAGGAGATTGTCGCTCAAATAGACACAATATCCAGAAGTGGAGCCCCTTATGTTTGGACATCCTGCCCAATCGGCATCACTATAGGCTAGAAGCTTTTGGAATGGTGATTTTGCGAGGTGTCGCGCATGAACAATAGTACCTTGAATATACCTCAAAATTCGTTTAAGAGTATGAAAATGTGACGTTTAGAGAGCACGCATGTGCATACAAATTTTCTGAACAACATAGCTTATGTCTGGCCGGGTGAATGTAAAATATTGGTGGGCCCTACAAGTTGACGATACTGCGCACCCCCATCGAGTAGAAGAGTGTACTAAGTTTTGCTCAAGTTTTCCTTGTTGTCAACCGGCACGGAGGATGGCTGACAAGAGCTTATTTCCGCTCTTTCCATGATTTCATTAGCGTATTTTTGATGTGATAGATAAAGTGGATCTTTGTAGCCGGACACCGAAATTCCAAGAAAATAGTTTAGGGGTCCAAGTTCTTTCATCATAGATTATTTTGCTAATAGTGCCATAAACTCGTGGCGTAGGCTAGGTCATGAGGTAATAAGCAAGATGTTGTCCATGTAAAGTAGGAGAAATGTCGTATGGGTACCCTTTTTGTAGATATATAAAGAGTGGTAACATTTGTTATGTTTCAACCCCAATGTGGACACGTAGTCGGCAAACATTTGTTACCAAACCCGTGGTGCCTATTTGAGGCCGTAAAGTGACTTTTTAAGCAGGCATACATGATTTGGATATGAATGATCTCGAAATCCGAGGGTAGATGCATGTAAAATGTTTCTTGAGGATGCTCGTGTAGAAAAGTGTTTTTTCACGTCGAGTTTATGGATATGCCACACTCACGAATTAGCAATTGAGAGAATAGTATGGATTGTGGCTCGATTTACTACAAGGCTAAAAGTTTCGCCATAGTCGATGCCTTCTGTTTGAGACCTGCCATCACACACTAAAAGAGCTTTGTATCTCTCTAAAGAATCATCAAACTTAGTTTTATGGCGATAAATCCACATATTACGCACTATATTCATATCATGATTTCTCAAAATGAATTCTCTCGTGTTATTACCGGTAAGGGCTTGAAATTCGTCTTTCATGGCTTTATTCCAATATGGGTTTTTAAGGGAATCTGTACGGTTTCGAGGTATATGAGAGATAGAGGTAAAAGTTTGGAGGTTATCGTGTTGTTTATTGTCTAGAAATGTCAGACATACTCTAGGTTTGGATAGAGCGAGTAGGAGGGACAGAAGGTGTTTGTGAGCTAATGGGTGGCAAAGCAGAAACAAAATAGGAGTGATCTGCTGTTAGATGCATTTTTGTATTAGGATATGGGTAGAAGTGGGTCGTGTACGATGTGATTAAATGAGAAGAGGGGTGGGGCGGCTGCTGGAGCAGCGTTATTAACGGGTGGGGATGGAACAATAGCGGTGGTGGCTGGTGGGTTTGGTTCGGAACATAGATGTGGTTGTGGATCTGATGATATTTGGGTGGTAGGAGTTGGTGTTGGGAATGAGTGTTTGGAATAGGGGAAGATTGTTTCATCAAAGATTATGTTGCAGGAGAGAATGATGGTTTTATTTTGTATGTCGAAACATTTGTATTATCGATGAGTAGTTGGGCGACCTAAGAAAACACAAGTTTGGGAGCATTTTTGTAATTTGTGGATGGTGAGAGACGAGGTAAGTGGGTAACATAAACAACCAATGTATGGAGATGAGAATATGTGGATTGGAGATTATAGAGAAGATGTATAGGGCAAGAAGATTTCTTAAGATATTATTGATAGACTGTATTTTATGTTCCACTTTGCCATTCTGTGGAGATGGGGGGGGGGGGGGGTGGGTGGGTGGGGAAGAAAATTTGAATTGAAGGCCATTTGAAGAGCAAAAATTATGATTGTTATGGTTATCAAACTCTCCACCATTGTCACATTATAGGGTTTTAATAGTGTAGCGTAATTGAGTTTTCATCATAGAAAACAATTGAAGGAAGATAGAAAGGACTTGAGACTTTTTGGAAAGAGGATATGTCGACAAGTAATTTGTTTTGTCATCTAAAAATAGAATATAGTAGCGGTGACCACTTGAACTTAACACATGTGAGGTCCACAAATCTATATGAATAGTATCAAAAGGAAAATGAGTAACTGACTTAGAAATGAAAAAAAATGGAAACTTTGTTTGTTTACCCAATACACAAGAATGAAAAAACAGAAGACAAAAGTTTAGTACTATGAAAATTTAAATTAAAATGTAAAGAAGACAAAACATTTGCATCCGCGTGTCCAAGGCGATGACGCCACATGTCTCTAATTATTGCAGCAAAAGTAAAAGGTTGCATGACTTGGGAAGACGGCTGGAGCGTGAAGGGGTTCTGATATGGTTCCTATGGATCATCTCAAATTCATGAATCAGTTCACACCTCAACGCGTCAATGCTATACACCCGAGTTCAGTTAGGAACCTTCCATACATTCCATCAGCAGTTGGATCTTCTAACTTTAAGATGATGATAGGAACAAGTACAAGGGACTATGATTTGGATCTTCCAACTGTGGATCAGCTTGAATTCTAGAATCAGTTCATCACACCTCAAGATTTCAATGTAAGACATGATGATGAGATAAAGTAGAATACATAAAAAAATTTAAGATATTATGATCCTTAAATACATCAAACATGATCTTATGGTATACATATGTAGTTGCTTTTTTAGGAGTATAAAATAAAAGAAAAGAAAAGAAAAGAAAACAGACACCATCTGGAATCTGGACAGAGAACAATGATACATTCAACATAGTGGTCGTGTGTGTCCTCTCTTCTGTTGCACTTTGTATGGTGTTAGGAGTTAGGGTGTTGGACATTCAACATAGTGGTCGTGTGTGTCCTCTCACAAAGTATATACACTAAACTGATAGTTTTATTATAGATTAAAACTTTAGAATTACATCATCATTATCATACATATGATAGAGGTATATATACAAGTAGACTGAAGTTTAACCAATGCAACTTTTTATCAAAAGTTGCAACAATTGGAGAGAATAACTGCCATAACAACCAACTACCAACTATTCTTTAACCGTTAGGAGAATCCGTCACAGTCTAGCTTACGTACTTCAACATCACCATTAAGCTAGACTGGGAAAACATTAGGTTTTTCTTTAAGCGATTGAAGCTTCCAGACTGGACATGGCTTTCATAAAGATATCTGTGATTTGATCTATTTTCCACATAAATCCACTTCCACATAACTATTGCTAACTAGTTCACGAATAAAATGAAACTTAA